ACAACGATTATAAAGTGTTACGTAAACAGACTGAACCATACAACGATTATAAAGTGTTACGTAAACAGACTGAACCATACAACGATTATAAAGTGGTATGTCTAGAATATTTTACTAGGTGCGTTTCTGATGTATTTTACATCACTCCTCGTACCGCCACGCGCCAGAAGCTGGTGTTCTAGTTTTCGTATCTTCAATATTTCAGATGAAGAAGATAAAATTAAAAACATCTCTTAAATCTAAAAAAACATAGAAATAACAAGAAGTAACACGCCTTAAGAAGAAATGAATTTATCAACCCATTGGAAAGCTCTGTTTCCTAGTAGGTGTGTCCAGTGGGGTTGGCATGCACTGCCTCCAGCAACCCCACCCCCAAACAGAAGATTCTAGAAACGCCAATGTATCAACCTCATGCACTTTTAGTTATTACCGTAGATGTGAATGGTAATTGAGGATAACTTTAGGAACCTTTCTCACTATCATATCATATTTACTTCCAATGTAAAGCAGGCGAAACGTTACAGAGTTATGGCTAAGAGTTGTTCTATTTTAACACAAGTTTCCAGTACGTTTCCCTTATTATTATTATCTATTCATGAAACGCGCCCTGAAGGTTGCCTGACGAAGCTCTTAAATCAGTCGGTACACTCATCCCGATACCGCTAATGATCCAGGTGTGGACAACTTGAGAGAAACGAGGCTCACAGACGAGTTTTTCATAGTCAATAATACAGCAACCATTAACGTTGCTTAGCATTCCTCCTGCGGGCAGTAGAATGCCCTCTATTGGTAGAAAATTGTCAACATAGGGAACGGTAAACGAGCATAAAGTTTACGACAGAGGACAGAAAACGTTACTGACCAAGATGTAAAATAAGGCCAATCTCCATCACCCCGTCCCCCATATACACACACACACACATACAAATCTATTTTCAATTGTAATACACTTTGAGACGCATGGATCAGAACTGCTAGAACTGTGAAATTAAAGACATTGCAACTGCAACCACTAGATGGCATTTTCAGCCAGAAACTAGAAGTCTGAATATATCTCATTGTCATTTACAAAACATGGATTTCGTTTCTTTCTTATTACGTACAAAGCTACACAATAAGCTATCTTTGCCATGTCCACCGCGGATATCGAAACCCGATTTTTAGCGTTATAAGTCCTCAAACTTACCGTTGAGTCACCTGAGGATTGAAACAGGTAAGACCGAGATACATATATTTATATATAATTTATAAACTAAATTGCCTTACTGTTGACGTCACAAACGTGTTTAGCCACACGAATTAGATTGATACGACCATCGAACGTTCAATTGTAAGACATGCCTGTAGTAGCTTACTGAAGGTTAACCCTACATTTCAGTTATAAAAGTCATCGTTATACACAAACTTTTGCCCTGTATAAGACAATGGGGTGTTTTAAGATTTCTTAGTGTAGACATTATCGTCTATTTCTCTGGATATATACGAATCATTTATTGGGATCCCCATCCAAATGTAATGATGTTTTCGTTTATGGAAAACACTTCCAATGGTTGCAACCATTTCATTGGAAACCGAACGGTGTGTTTTGGCCACGTGCGAGCACGAAGAACGCACGAGAGGCTCGGCGCCCTAGGGCTACCGGATTTGTTTAACTTGATGAATAGGCGCCCCTACTTAAGAGCACCAGGGGGGGTTTCCATTGTTTCCATAGAGCTTGACCACACCACAGAGGGCAACTTTAACAGCACGTTCAGAGTCAAGAGTAAGGCTTTTATAATATCGATGAAGAAACAATATTTAATGTCTTCTTGTCAGTCAGCCCGATGTGTAATCTGTCTTAAAAACTTGACTCCTTTTAACATCGTTAGGTACGACAACAGCGTTAAGTGTAATCCTTTGTACGGTGGGCGTGTACTCGTTGTTGAATCTTCAGAAGTTAACGGAATCGACAATTCTTTATAGAATGCTGATTTTATTGGCGTTGGCCGAGCTTCAAGAACAACAACAACAACAACAAAAAAAAAAAAGAAAGAGGTCAAACTAAGCCAGCATCTGCAATCCCAAACTCATCCTTCCAATGTCAATATCCTCTGTTTCTTAGTACTCACATCACGTGCTCTGTATAAGAGCTGAATAAAACCTTTTCCGTGCCTAAGAACAATTGATGAGAAAGTAAGCACGTGCATATAATCACGGGTGACAAAAAAAAAGAAAAAAAAAAGAAGAGCAAAATCATGCAGTGTATTTCGCTTCCTCTAACTCCACAAGGTTAGCTTTTAACAGTCTTCATTGGTCGCACTCGGCTAATCTTGTTTCTTAAGTAGTTTTCAATCACATGTAAATTAAGCTCTTGCTTTAAAGACACTTTTTTTTTAACTTCGTCCTTGTCAGGCTAGTGCAAAACACGTTTTGCACGTACATTATAACCTCCTAACCTGAATATTCAGCGATATTTTTCTTCTTCTAGTAAACTGGAATATTTAGAGAATTGGCTACAATGGATGAAGAAAATAAGTTGAGATTCAAAGAAGGGAACGGCTAGTATTTACTAAAATAATAATTACGTGTATCATATTTGTTGTGATGGGGAGATAGAATATTATTAAATACATACGAAGTTCCCTTATTATTAAAGTCTCTTTCTATATTCTCAACACATCCGTTCTACACGGTTCGTATACCGATATTCCTGCGTTATGAACGTCCCTTGCTATACTCTCAATACATCCGTTCTACACGGTTCGTATACCGATATTCCTGCGTTATGAACGTCCCTTGCTATATTCTCAACACATCCGTTCTACACGGTTCGTATACCGATATTCCTGCGTTAAGAACGTCCCTTGCTATACTCTCAATACATCCGTTCTACACGGTTCGTATTCCGATATTCCTGCGTTATGAACGTCCCTTGCTATACTTTCAATACATCCATTGAACACTGGTAAATTACCGATATTTCTACACTGTGACCGTCTTTTCCAACACCATCAATACATTTGTTCCTACACTACACATACTATTCTTCTTCTAAGAACATTTCTATATACATTCAACTGTTCCGCCCTATACTGTGAAAATATAAACACATACTCAATATTGGCTTTCCTGTATTGTAAGCACTTTTTTTTCAACATACTCAATATTGGCTTTCCTGTATTGTAAGCACTTTTATCAACATACTCAATATTGGCTTTCCTGTATTGTAGGCACTTTTATCAACACACTCAATATTAGCTTTCATGTATTGTAGGCACTTTTATCAACACACTCAATATTAGCTTTCATGTATTGTAAACAGTTTTTTTGAACACGCACTCAATACTAACTTTCCTGTATTGTAAACACCTTTTTTCAACACACACTCAATACTAACTTTCCTGTATTGTAAACACTTTTTTTCAACATACTCAATATTGGCTTTTCTGTATTGTAAGCACTTTTTTCAACACACTCAATATTGGCTTTCCTGTATTGTAAGCACTTTTTCAAGACACTCAATATTTGTTTTCCGGTATTGTAAGCACTTTTTTCAACACACTCAATATTGGCTTTCCTGTATTGTAAGCACTTTTTTCAACATACGCAATATTAGCTTTCCTGTATTGTAAGCACTTTTTTCAACGCACTCAATATTGGCTTTCCTGTATTGTGAGTGCTTTTTTCAGCACACCTCTTTCATTTCTTCACACATGCAGACTTTTTAAAATCGTGAACATTATTAGTACACACAGAATAATTTAACTTATTCAAATTGGGCTCTTGCATAACATCTAGTCCTTCGAGTAAAATTTACATAACTAGGTTTTTCTAGTCATAATATATAACTATAACGAAAATACACATAAACATATAATTAGGCGTATAATGTTCTTTTGCATAGAGAGAGATATCCACACACAAACAAGACTAACCCTCCATTTTCCAAGGTCTCCACTCCGCTAACTTCACCATTTGTTTGTTTGTAATTAAGCACAAAGCTACACGATGGGCTCTCTGTGCTCTGCTCACCACGGGTATCGAAACCCGGTTTCTAGCGTTGTAAGTCCGTATACATACCGTTGTGCCACTGGGGGTCAACTTCACTAATCCTGATTGTTTGCTAATTTATGTACTGTTTAGAAAGTAGCAACATTGAGAAGTAATATAAAAACAGAAATGTATTGTTATTAATTATGAAGTTATTATAAAATATATTATTAAAACGTCTGAATAATAAAAATAATAATAACTATAAGTAAATGCACAAAGTGTTAAATCTACTAAAACTTGCATATAACTTATTATAGAAGAAGTATTATTGTTAATAATTATTTTAATAAACCAACTTGTTTCACTTTTAACGAATCTTAGCGGATCTTAATATAGCCTACGTTAGGCCAAATTTGTCGTTTTATCTTAGACCTAATTCAAATAACTACTATAATAATTACACAATATAAAAAGTAATATTAATAATTTGATGTGGATCAAATGTAGAGATTTTGTAATTATGGAATTTAAGTAATTGCAATAAATGAAATAGCAGTAATATAAGTGGTGACCTCCACCTTGTTTGTGAATATAATTATTTATTGCACTATATAAAAACATTACACTTAAATCAATGGCGCATATATCTAAATTTGTTCAGGAATTACACACGAACATTTCTTCTAACCACATTATATAAGAACAAAGAACAACAACAACAAAACATAAACCAAAGGGTAATATTTAGATTTATCCGTGTACTTTTATACAAAAAAATATGAAAACAAGAATGTTTCACAGACGTTGCTACGGGAACAAAGTGTAAGAAAATAAATAATATCCGTTTTTATTTCTCTGTAATTACCCTACATAAAATGAGTACAGAGTAAACAGAAAAACTTCAGAACAAGGTTTTGTTACCTACCGTAGACAGTTACGGAGGATGTCTCACTAAAACGTTGATTGGCTACATTTCGAGCCCCACAGGTATAGTTCCCCATGTCCGCTAGCCGTACTTGACTGATCAGTAGGTTACCTTCGTTCGAGATTATGAAGTTTGTTTCTTTATTCGTGTCAATAGTTACTCCGTTACGTAGCCAAAACACTTTTGGCGGCGGCACGCCCTCTGGAGGTAAGCATTGTAAGGAAATTTGTCCATCTATTTCAACACTGGTACTCAAGGGCTGGTTGATGAAATGCTTCTTTAAGTCTATTTAATAAAGTTCGGGAAATATAAGTTTTTTTTTGAAGGTATGAAGTTGCTTTGAAGAATAAATAATTTCAGATGTGGCAGCTGTTTTAATCTTCCATGGTTAAATTTCAAGAATATATGTATATATATATACTCTGGTAAGTACAGTTATTTAAGAAATATAATAAGAAAACGTTGTTTGTTCTAAAAGGATAGACTGAGGTTTAACGAACAAGAAATGTTAACATGCGATAACAGAAAAGTCACTTCAGTAACAGCATGGTTGAATGTTTACAGTCCTACGCCCCACAGCAACAGCATGGTTGAACGTTTACAGTTCTATGCCCTTAGCAACAGCATGGTTCTATGTTTAAACCTATAAGATCTGTGCATAAAATTCGATGTTTAGAATCATAAGGCCACAGTACCAATGTAGTTTGATATATAGAACCATAAGACTTCAGTACCAATATAGTTTGTGTTACAACCATAAGGCCTAAGTACCAATATAGTTTGATGGTCAGAACCATAAGACATTAGTACCAATATAGTTTGGTGTTAGAACTATAAGACACTAGTACCAATATAGTTTGATGTTAGAACCATAAGGCTTAAGTACCAATATAGTTTGATGCTAGAACCATAAGGCTTAAGTACCAATATAGTTTGATGCTAGAACCATAAGGCTTAAGTACCAATATAGTTTGATGTTAGAACCATAAGGGTTTAGTATCAATGTAGTTTGATAATCAGAACCATAAGACACTAGGACCAATATAGTTTGATGTTTAGAAACATTAGACTTTAGTATCAATATAGTTTGATGATCAGAACCATAAGACACTAGGACCAATATAGTTTGATGTTTAGAAACATTAGACTTTAGTATCAATATAGTTTGATGTTAGAACCATAAGACACTAGGACCAATATAGTTTGATGTTTAGAAACATTAGACTTAAGTACCAATATAGTTTGATGTAAGAACCACAAGGATTTAGTACCAATATAGTTTGATGTTTAGAAACATTAGACTTTAGTATCAATATAGTTTTTGATGTTTAGAAACGTTAGACTTTAGTTTGAAATTTAGGCCATAAAAATCCATTACCATATAGTTTAATGTCTAGAACTAGGAGACCTCAGTACCAATATAGTTTAATGTTAAAGACTAAAAATACAAACGTTGCATCTGAATATCTATTTACTTTACTAAAAAATATTCAGCAAAAATTTTTTTCCATCGCTTATTCGTGAGGTTTGTTTCTGTCTTATAGTGTTGATGTTTCTGTTCTGGCATTAGAACACAAGTTTGTTTCTGTCTTATGGTGGTGATGTCTCTGTTCTGGCATTAGAACATAAGTTTGTTTCTGTCTTATGGTGGTGGTGTGTCTGTTCTGACATTGGAACACAAGTTTGTTTCTATCTTATGGTGTTGATGTCTCTGTTCTGGCATTAGAACACAAGTTTGTTTCTGTCTTATGGTGTTGATGTCTCTGTTCTGGCATTAGAACACAAGTTTGTTTCTGTCTTATGGTGTTGATGTTTCTGTTCTGGTATTAGAACATAAGTTTGTTTCTCTCTTATGGTGTTGATGTCTCTGTTCTGGCATTAGATCATAAGTTTGTTTCTCTCTTATGGTGGTGGTGTGTCTGTTCTGTCATTAGATCATAAGTTTGTTTCTCTCTTATGGTGGTGGTGTCTCTATTCTGACATTAAAACATGTTTATACATCTATATTTCCAGCTGCCTAGGGTTACTTAAAAAGACGCCTATTAATATGCTGTAAATATGCAAGATAGCCTTAACAATAGTTATTTTGATGATTGCTTCCAAATATAGTTTTATATTGTGGATCAGACTTGTCAAAGAAGATACTTCCACACCAACTTTTTCTATTTCGTTAGAACTATATACACAACGATGTAAATGTTCGTGGCTGATGAGATGGAGACGATTATTATGATGTATAGGTAGTAGTGCATAGTTCTCACCGAAAGGGGGAAAATATAATTTATACTAACAATACTGAACCATCTGACAACATAGATTTTGCATTAACAACTAGGTGGAACGTTTTTATTGTTGACTTGACAACATAGGCTTTGCGTTAACAACGAGGTGGAGCGTTTTTATTGTTGAACTGACAACACAGGCTTTACGTTAACAACGAGGTGGAGCGTTTTTATTGTTGACCTGACAACACAGGCTTTATGTTAACAACGAGGTGGAGCATTTTTATTGTTGATCGAGATGAATAAAATTACTTTATACATCTGTGTAAGAACGTGGCGTTTATTTCGTGGAATACTTAACTCCAAATTTTCGCATATTTTTCAGAATATTCACGTAAGGCTTATCTCCCGATTCCCCGAAATCACGCGCAATCCTCTTGATTTTAATGTTTTTAGAGCATTTTGGTTCGTTTAGTTTAGTCGTTATGGTGAATATTTTCATTGTTATCCTTCCTTAATTTTCAGGTTAGCGTCTTCATTTGCTGGCAGACGACTTTAGAGCATGAGTGTGAAAAAGGTATGGAAAATTGATAAGACGGTTAGTGAGAGTAGAGTTAAAATTATAGTCTACATATTACTGATGATGAGGAAGATTGCAAATCATTGGAGAAAAAGATGAGATGGGGGCGTAAAGAAGTGTTTCATGACAAGTTTCAGGATGTAGAAACTGTCTTTGTTAGTATCGTTCATCAGTCTGTAAACAATAACCGCCTACAAAGGCACATGCAAACATATATGCTAAATGTTTTAAATGTACAATATAGTTTAATAATCACGAAATGATGCACTGATTTACTGTTTTTGTTTTCCCTGAAATGGTTGAAAAATATGCAGACGTGTAAGACTACTTGTGATTGTGTGGTCTACGTTTCATTTGCTGTTCAAAAAAAGTGTGCAAGTTTGTGCAAGGAGAAGTTTTTTTTTTGTTATCTGTCCAAATGTTAAGAACCCTCGGGCAGGCTTAATGTCTGCACCCCCAGAATAGTACTAATGATACGAGGCTGTAGGGGATTAGTGAATAAATTACTGTTTTAAAGGATTAAAATCATGAATATCTGTTGTTTTAAAGTGTTATCAGTCAAAGATACTTCAGTAAAGTTTTACATCACAAGGATTAAGTTTTTGATAAATCTACATATCAAGTATTCTATATCAGCTGAAAGGATTAAGAAAACAATGTTATCTGAAGAACATCGCATGTCGAAAAAATGAAAGGGCAAAAAACAAAACAAAAAAACATTAATAGCAACAAAACCCATCACAGATTACTGTTAGATGGCTGTATATTATCTTAGGTCTTATTTTATTCTTTATATGGTCAGTACATTAAGTAACTGACAGTTATATTTTCGGATCCACCATTTTATCATCTTCATATGTAATCTCGAAACGTAATATGGCCGCTTTGGCTTTTCATCTCTGAAGCTCAGCACTTAAGTGAACCAACTATACTTCGCTATATTTGCAAGCAAAAAAAGTGTCTGATCGAAGTTACTCGGGAGAGAGCTAATGGTTAGTTAGTTTGTTTGAAGTTAAGCATAATGCTACACAATGGGCTATCTATGCACTGCCCACCACGGGTATCGAAACCCGGTTTCTAGCATTGTAAGTCCGCAGATATGCCGCTGTGGCACTGGGGGGGGGGGGGTAATGGTTAGAGTTACGTTCTGAGAATCGAAGGGTTCAAGGTTTGAGACATGATGTCCACGTTCCACATTTTCAGCTGTGGGCGCGTGATAAAAGTAGTAGCAAATTCCATTATTCAGTTCAAAGGGCCGAATAAGGCCCTTGTCCTCTAGCTGGTTACCCGTTATTTGATTCAAAGAGTCGGACAAAGTCCTTGCCCTCTAGGGGTCACTTATAATTCGGTTCAAAGGGCCGGACAAAGTCCTTGCCCTCTAGGGGTCACTTATAATTCGGTTCAAAGGGCCGGACAAAGTCCTTGCCCTCTAGGGGGTCTCTGACCTTTCCGTTTAGCCTACATACTACGGTGCCGCTCAGACTGAAAATTCAAATTCCATTTCTTGGTCAACATTAATTATGGTCAACATTAATTATCCCGTCAAGTCTCAAGTATTATGCATCCTAACGACTCCCTGAAAGCTTACAATAATTAATACAAATAGCCATACTGGAAATTTAGAGTATTACGAAATGGCGATGATCAGCTTTTGAATAAGCCATTAAATTGTATTTTTGTTACAAATCAAATAATTACCCAAGGAAAATATAATAAAAAAATCATGATGGTTAGGCTAAACCTTGGAGCAAATGAGATTTTTAGAATTTCCAAAAACCTAATTTATTTTACTGACGACAGCTACTCTTTAATATATCAGTAGGCATTAAAACTTACATACAAAACATAATTTAAATGTTATTCACAGTAACTTAGTTTAAACAACACGATCGAAATAATTCATCTAACACAATTCTTGTGTTCTCTACAATAATCTGGTTCAAACAACTCGTGAGCAGTGATTCATCTAACACCTTTTATGTGCCCTCCAACGATAATCTAGTTCAAACAATTCGTCAGCACTAATTCACCTAACACCTTTCATGTGCCCTCAACGATAATCTAGTTCAAACAATTCGTCAGCACTAATTCACCTAACACCTTTCATGTGCCCTCAACGATAATCTAGTTCAAACAATTCGTCAGCACTAATTCACCTAACACCTTTCATGTGCCCTCATTGTAAAAT